CATTTCAATATTACATATAGTATAATATTTATAATTTGTCAGTGGTTGAGTACCAGCTGTGAGTTCAATGAATTTGTTAGTAATAATAGGATTAAAATTGTACATTCATACCATCAATGCAGTTAGCAGCTAAAAATATACAACTTCCAGCTAACATAGAATTGTTCAATAATTATTAATTGTAGATAGAATACAATATGTTCCATTTGTGCATACTTATCACCTTTTAAGTGAATTAAAATCTTGGGATATTGTTTCTATAATAATAAATCAGTTGTTTTTAATTTTAAAGATAAAATGCATTATTTATAAAAATCAAATAATCTGTTCATATAATTACTATAATTATTACCTTGGATAACGCTGTTTCCAGTTAGGATTTTGTCAACTTTCCATACACACTTTATAGCATGAGTAGGAATCTGAGTTTGAGTTGGTGAATAATAATGTAGGATCAGATTAACTTGTTCAAGAATATAACCAATATACATAACTTATAAATCATATTCAGTTTCTCTATTCTTAAATGGACACTGACTTACATTTTCATGTTCGCCAAAAACACTGTAGAAATAATTACATAAAACTTATTAATATATTGAAGTAAATAAGTTAAATGACAATAGATATAAAAACTTTATAAGAAAAAAACAAACAAAAATGAAATAAGTAATATATTTTATGATAGTGTGTCTACTTTGGTATCTATATAGGTAAGTATGTTAACTAAGTAGGTACTAAAATTTAAAGTGATGTTAATCTATAAGACCTATTTTAGTTTTGCATAAATTCAATATTTCAATAAATAATATAATGAAATATAAAATTCAAAATTAAACTTTAATGAAAAAAGTAAAATAAAAAGTGGTGTGAACTATTAATATGGAACTATTGTAAAGTTATTAGATTTTCCATTTCCTTAAAAAATCCCAATACAGAAACCATACAAAATTTGATGTGGTATTTTTTAAATTTTAAACATTGTTATTACTAAAGAAAGGATTGATATTCTCTTAAAATACCCAAAATATGATGTTAATATTCTCTACAAAACCTTCAAATATTTTCATTATATTCTCTCAAAAATTTAAAAAATATCCTAATATAAGCAAAAATATACAATAATATGCAAACATATGCAAAAAACATCATAAATAATAACTTAATACCTACTTTTACCATACAAAAACATACAATTAGTTTTCAAGGAAAACAATATATTTTTAGTTGATGTAAATTTTTTGTGAAAAAATAATAAATTAAAATTAATAAAACGGATTTTATGGTATTTTAATACAAGTATTTAAATTTTGTCAAAATACTTGAAAAGTATTTAAATACAAGTAATCAAATACTTATCTTCGAATACTTTACAATACTGTGAATTACTTACATAGCAGCAATATGTATTTCAAATTTGAACATACACTTGTCATCAAAGTTGTTATATAAAATATAATGAAAAAATAATTTAAAAGTTGACTGGCGACTAGCGTAAACATTTTCCGACTAATGTAAATTTAAAATCATAAAACACGACGTACACGATGACGACAAGTGAGAGAATGAAGATTGAAGAATCAAATATGAATCAACCTTGCACAATGCTCTAACGCTTAATGACTGAAACATGAAAGCCGAAAGGTAGGAGGTAGCGCCCGCATATACCTGTCGGCAGGCACGAGTGGCACACGGTACATCAAATAATAAAACATATAAATATAGGTAACGCGATAAGACCACTGAATTATCAGGTTCAATTAATATTGTTAATACACACTACAATATAAAGGTGAAAAAACCCAGACTAATCCGTGCGAATGTAGGTATCTAAAATTAAATAAACTATATTAGTATATTACTAAATCAGCCGCGGCAGGCTGTCTGGCTGTATTGCCCGTCTACCGGGCACACGGTCGGGTGTACCCATTTCGAAAATTGATATCTCGAAACTGGTCAAAGTGTTCCCTTAGATATTTTTACACTTTTTTAAACACCTCCTCCCCTTTATTTCTATGTAGGTTTCATTGCGGGCGCTCTGCCGGAACACTTTCAAATATTTTTTTGAAAATATGCGGATTCCCATATTGCCCGTCTACCGGGCACACGGTCGGGTGTACCCATTTCGAAAATTGATATCTCGAAACTGGTCAAAGTGTTCCCTTAGATATTTTTACACTTTTTTAAACACCTCCTCCCCTTTATTTCTATGTAGGTTTCATTGCGGGCGCTCTGCCGGAACACTTTCAAATTTTTTTTTGAAAATATGCGGTTTACCATATTGCCCGTCTACCGTGCACACGGTTGGGTGTACCCATTTCGAAAATTTATATCTCGAAACTGGTCAAAGTGTTCCCTTAGATATTTTTACACTTTTTTAAACACCTCCTCTCCTTTATTTCTATGTAGGTTTCATTGCGGGCGCTCTGCCGGAACACTTTCAAAACACCTTCCCAAAATATACGGTTTACAATATTGCCCGTCTACCGGGCACACGGTCGGGTGTACCCATTTCGAAAATTGATATCTCGAAACTGGTCAAAGTGTTCCCTTAGATATTTTTACACTTTTTTAAACACCTCCTCTCCTTTATTTCTATGTAGGTTTCATTGCGGGCGCTCTGCCGGAACACTTTCAAATTTTTTTTTGAAAATATGCGGTTTACCATATTGCCCGTCTACCGGGCACACGGTCGGGTGTACCCATTTCGAAAATTTATATCTCGAAACTGGTCAAAGTGTTCCCTTAGATATTTTTACACTTTTTTAAACACCTCCTCTCCTTTATTTCTATGTAGGTTTCATTGCGGGCGCTCTGCCGGAACACTTTCAAATTTTTTTTTGAAAATATGCGGTTTACCATATTGCCCGTCTACCGGGCCATTTTATATTATATTATATTATATTATATTATATTATTTTATATTATATTATATTATTTTATATTATATTATATTATATTATTTTATATTATATTATATTATATTATTTTATATTATATTATATTATATTATTTTATATTATATTATATTATTTTATATTATATTATATTATATCATGCTATATTATATTTTATATTTTGGTTTTTTAACACGCTGTAGTGGTAGCACTGTAGTACATAGCAATTATTGTATACAATTATTATATTGTTGTATATATTAATTTGTAAATGTTAAGGGTTTGGGAGACACTGGGCCTGTTATCTATTGCTATTGGATTATTGCTAATGTAATTCTCGTTATATATAGGTTATTAGGTTCCCGAAAAAAATTCCCAAAAATCGAGCTAAACTGCATTATTTCTGATGATTTTAGACGTTTATTTGAGATATTTTAAAATGTTTGTAACTTTTCAACTTTTATCTGGTAGAAAATATGCTCTGATCATAAGCTTCGATGGCCTGCACACGAGGTTTGGCTGAGCTGTAGTGATAAGTGACAACACTGTCCACCTACTCGTGCCACCGAAGCGACGTCTAGTATGTCTTAGTCTTTTGGTGTGTGTTGCCGTGCGTGTGTCTGCCGGAGTGTGTCCGGACTGCACACGCTCACGGGCACTATCTTGTCTTTATGACTTTGCACACCCGTCATCGCCGACCTGGAGGTCCGGGTAACAAAATGACAACGGATTATTGTATTGCCTTCCAAGACCTACATCTATACCAATTTTCAGAATTTTTCATCGTAAATAAGTGCCTCAAATCGAGCGCGCAAGATTTGATGACAACAGGAATGAAACATTGTGAGTTAAAGAAAAGCATGTAATAATAATAAAAAGCATGTAAAAATTCTCTTTTATATAATTTTTAACGTTTCATTTTACAATATGGATAAAAAAACTAATCAAAAGGGTGAAAACTGTTGCCATATATGTAACAAAAATTTTGCTAGATCCACAACGTTACGCAGACATATCGACGATATACATAAAATACCTGGAACTTGTTCAGAGTAAGTTATGAATAAAAAACTAGTGAACTATCTCGATTTCTCGAACATTGATTAGAATACTTACTGGTGGTGGTATTTTGCAAATATGAACTCAATTAACTAAAAAATTTTGTTTTGCGTTTATTGATTTTTATGGTATTTTTTGTTATTTTATGTGTATTTGTATTGTCAAAACAAAATTTTGAAAAATTTTGTTAAAAATGTAACAACAATTTCGCTAGATCCACAACATTTAACGTTACGCAGACATTTTGATGGTATACATAACACCTGGAACTTGTTCAGAGTAAGTTATTAATAAAAAACTAGGTCACTATCTCGAACATTTGTTAACTGTCAGGATTTAACAACAATAATATAATGAAAAATTAACTTTTATTCAAACACTTTACTACAAATCACCTTATATCACAACGGTGCAATTCTGGCGGGCACAGGTGACAGGTCGCCTGAGCCGCACAACACCAACTGGTTTACTCTCATTAGGTAACGATATCTGCAGCACAAGCAATAACAACAGTACCGCTCCTAGTTACATTCGACAAGGTACAACACTAAGTACAAGGGTACAACAATCCTTAACGAACATAAAAATAACAAATCAACAAATAAATAAATCTCTTAGAGTACATAATTTGACAGAAACAGTCTTTGACTCATAATTAATGATTAATGGTTAAAATACATTATGTAAACAAAAAGGAAAAGAAAGGTTTACATTAGCAACCATTAATAAGTTAGCTAATTTACAATAATTAAACATTTTTTTTTTAAATAAATACATCATGAGCGTTTAAATAAACACACATTTTAGCTCATATTAACAATTAATTAGTTGAATATAGGAACATTATCATAGGAAAAGTATTGGTTAGGAACAAGTATCATAATCTTTAAGCCAGACGGGTGGACGAGGTTCACGGCGTGGTCTACCTTCCTTCTGAACAACATCGGACCCAGATCTATCAGCATCCTGGTTTGACATTTCTGGAGTAGTGGCAGCGTCTCCAGGGACATTGGCCTCAGCCGCAAGCCTGCCCTCTTCTTAGCATCAATCAGCTTCCAGGATTTCAACTGAGCGACATGAACCACTGTACAAATCAGTAACTCTATAGACGTCTCCAGGAAGTACCTCTGAAACCACTAACGGTCCCCTGTAGCGGTTTTGTAATTTGGTGGATTCACCTGTAGAGTTGGGAGCCCTCTTCATCACGACCACCTCTCTCACTTGGTAATGAGTATTATCATGCCGTCGAGCATCATATGCTATTTTCATTTTTCTTTTGGAAACTTCCATAGCTTGGTGGACTCCAATGCGCAATCCTTCTGGCGGTGTCCAATCATCAACAGTAGTGGATAGCCCGCGCAGAGCTCCCAAGTGGAACTGCGGCCTATAGCCGTGTAACATTTCAACGGTGTTCTCGTTCTGGACGTCAGGGAGTAGCTCAGACCAACCATCGGGGTCTACTCCAGCAGTTCGGAGTGCTGCCATGACAACACTGTGAGAGCGCTCTACCTGGCCGTTAGCTTGAGGGTGGCGAGAAGAATTCCAGATCAGCACAATGCCTCGCTTCAGACAGAACAGTTCGAACGCACCCGAAGTGTAGCAGCTCCCACGATCCGTGACAAATCGACGGGGTAGTCTATAGGTATCAACGAATAATTGCACTCGTTCAATCAGTTGATCTGCACTGGTGTCTTTCACTGCGTACAAGGAAATGAACTTAGAAAAGTTATCTACTATTGTAAGTACATACTTAAGTCCGTCGGGAGTAGTCACAAATGGACCAACATGATCAATGTGAAAGGGGGGGTGAATGGCCGCTTCCCAATAGGTATAGGATGGAGGTAGCCAGGTCGCTTTCCACGAGGATCCTTAGTCAGCAAGCACTCAAAACAGACATTAATGTGCAATCGCACGTAGCGCCGCATCCCGGAAAACCAAAAATCTTGTAATATATTGGCCACAGTAATATCTACAGCCGGGTGACCACTAAGGTCATGCGCGGTGACCACAAGGCTCTTCCTCATGCTCTTGGGCTTCACAAACAACAACTTATCGCGGTGGCGTCGATACAGCAACCCACCTTTTAAGACAAACTCACCGCAGGTGTAGCCGGTTGTACTCATGTCCAACTTGACACGGGCAATGTCAACATCTGAAGACTGACACATCGACACTCGTTCTTCTTCAGACAATAGAACACCAATACATCATCCAGCGGTGGTTCTTCAGTTGAGACCGGAGCTCGAAACAGGGCGTCCACATGAGTCATCTGGTGACTGGCCCTGTACTTCACCTCATATTCATACTCCTGCAAGGAGTCATGCCAACAAGCCGCTTGAGCGTTCAGGTTCTTGAAGTTGTTCAAGTAGACTAACGCTTGACAATCAGTTAAGATCACAAATTTTATACCGAACAGAAACTGTCGCAACTTGTTTACGGCCCACACTAGGCACAACAGCTCCAACTTACTAGAATGGTAGCGAGACTCCGCATCGCTTGTCTTGCGACTAGCGCCTAGACCGTCAGCACTCGCGTCGATATGTAATTTTGTCACTTCGGCGTCGCGCCGGAACATGCACTGCACCGTGTCACCCACAAGGGCATCCTGCAGCTTGCGGAACGCTTGTTCCTGACCATCAGCCCATTGGAATTTCACACCTTTGCGCAACAAAGCAGTTAGTGGTTCTGCTATGACAGCATATCCGAGCACGAACCGACGGAAAAATCCAGTGAGTCCGAGAAACCGTCGAACAGAATGCACGTCACTCGGCACGGGGTACTCAACAATCGCGCGAGTCTTTTCGCGACCCGGGTGAATCTCGCCGTTCTCAACCACGAAACCCAAAAACTCCACTTGAGCCGTACCAAACTGGCACTTTGGCGGCTTTAACGTCAATTTAGCGTCCCTAAATCGATCGAGCACCAATCTTAGTTTTCTCAGCATGTCAGTCCAGTCACGACCTTCGATTATCATGTCGTCCAAGTAGTTTCGAACTATTTTGCCCTGGAGCGGCCCGATAACTCGCTGCATCAAACGGGTGAACTCAGCCACTGCTCCGGAGAGGCCAAAAGGCATACGGGTGAATTCACCAGTTGTATCGGAGGTGATGAAAGCAGTTTTTTCCGAGGCCTCCGTAGACAGTGGTATCTGCAGATAACCACTAGCGAGGTCGAGCTGCGTGAACATACGGCCTTCCGCGAGAGACTCCAGCTGTTCATGCATATCAGGAAAGGGATAGTGCTGTCTCACCGTTTGTTTGTTCAGTCTCCGGAAATCTATACAAAGTCGATTTTTCCCTCCGGCTTGCTTCACCAAAAGCACCGAACTGGCGTACGGAGAAACGGTATCACGAACCACACCATGCAACTTCCAATCAGCCACTATCTTAGCTATCTCTTCTCTATCAGACTGGGTGGTCTTGTACGGACGACACACCACGGGTCGATTGCCTGGGACCTCATTGATATCTACAGTCATTAAAGGCGTACAGCCTAGCTCACCTAGGTCCTTAGCGAAGCATTCACGGTATTCGTTCACGAGTTCGATCAGCCCTTCACGTTCAACAGCAGTTGCATCGAGTTTAACATACCCAAAATCAGCCTCCAGCAATGGCAAACGAGCTGGGATCACATGTTGTTCCATAGTATGTATAAAATCGGCGTTACAGCCAACCGTTGTAACTGTGGTTTCCGTCTGGCCCGAGCACGGCTCAGCTTGATATAGGTGCAGCTGACCATCGACCTTACGGTACTCTACCGAGGGCATATCTAACCACTCACGCCCTATTATCACGTCGGGCTGCTGCACGGTATCTGGCAAAACTAACATGGACACTTGTCCGGGACACACATCATCCACAGCAATCTCGGCATAAGCCATACCGACGGCTCGCACAGAAGGAATAGTGGTACTGCCCAACCCATACAACGACTTGTCAGTAGGCTTCACCGAGAGACCACAGTTTATGGCCACGCTCGCCTTGACCAAATTATAATGGGAACCCGTGTCAAGCAAAACGTCCACTTCTTGGCCATTGATTCGCCCAAACCTCCGGTAGGGGTGGCTTCTCGTCTCACGTGCTACCACAGCCACGCTCGACTGGCCCCGTTCCGGACAATTCGGCCGAATGTGACCGACGACACCACAACCATAGCAGATGGCAGACCTTGAGAGATGTCCAACGGTTCTACAATTCCAGCACATCGCAGCACTGTTGACCGAACTTCCTGACGACACACTGGCGTTGGACGGTTTTGGTTGTACCGGCTGGACGGCAGACCGTGAGCCCCACGAAGTCGAACTCTTTACAGCAGATTGCGTTTTCGTGAACTCCGCCTTACGTTCGAAGCCTACCGTAGGTTGGTGCAACGAGTTCATCCGGTCTCACGAAAGCATGTCTTCGAGTAGCTCGTCCTCATAAACGTGCCGTCGACCAACGACATACAGCGCCAAGTTCCTCGCATACAAACCGCGGAGGAGATAATCTTTCGAGTCTTCCAATGACAGGGACAGTTCGCGACACATGCGCATCTTCGGTTGGAAATAGTCCATCAAGGCTTCATTTTTGCCTTGTTTGCGGGCTTTCATCAGATCCAACCTATCGGACACACTTGATGCACGCACAAACGTCTTCCTAAATTTTTTTTCAAATTCGGTCCAACCGCTCGACGAAAGACACCAAATCATTATACGTCGGGGCTGTGATACTCACAGAATTTGCAGACTTTGCTTCTTTTCCGTAGGCCATTATCAGTCCGCAACAATAACAATAATTATAACGATGATCTCAACGATGATAATGGTATCACTGTTGTCAATACGATAACGCAGACTGTTACCACGGTATCGTTACCAACCCTGGTGGTTGTAATCACGCGTTTAAGGTTACGTGCGTAATTCGGTAGTACCAACCTCGTGTTCTGCACTGACTGCACTTCTGCCGCACGATGCACGACCTTGAACAACAAATACGACTTGACGAACGCAACAACTTTGGCTTTCGAACACAACGACTACGGCAAAACAATTTCGATTAACGCACGAACTATAGCACCCTACGGCCTACAAAGTTAAACGTGAAATACGGACAACCACTACTATCACAGAATAGAACGTTACTGAGTATCGACACTCACTCTAGACGCACATTCGTATCCCACTTCTGAAAATATATTATTATGTTAACTGTCAGGATTTAACAACAATAATATAATGAAAAATTAACTTTTATTCAAACACTTTACTACAAATCACCTTATATCACAACGGTGAAATTCTGGCGGGCACAGGTGACAGGTCGCCTGAGCCGCACAACACCAACTGGTTAACTCTCATTAGGTAACGATATCTGCAGCACAAGCAATAACAACAGTACCGCTCCTAGTGAGAGTTTACACATTGAGTAGAATACTTACTGGTGGTGTTACCTTAAATCACTGTAGTTGATCAGGACCCATAAAAATTGAATGCTCTTTCTATTTTCACATTAATTTTATTGTTTAGGTGCAATAAAACATTTCTGGACAAAAAGTCTCTTAACCAGCATATTCGAACTGAACACAATCAAAGGGACAATTCATTGAAGGAGTGTTGCAAGCTATGTGATGTTAAATTTAGCAATAAAAGCAATTTAATCAAACATATGGGCCAAGTTTATCTGGCTGAAAATGATTATAAAAGCCTTAAGTCGTTGAAATGTCCTTTATGTGAGTCAACATTTAATGCTACATCAAAGCATCACGAGCACATTGAAATAGACCATGATGTACACTTGGAGGTTGTGTCTAAGGTCTTTGAATCTGTTGACGGTAAATATTTTCATTTTTCTTATTGAAATGATAGTTATCCATGTACCGTACCTATATAATATAATAAACATTATATATGTATATTTTTTTTATGATTCAGAATTTAAAAAATGGAAAAGTGTCATTGAAAAAGAAAATCTTGCTTTTTTACCATTCATCGAGTTAATGGAAATAGATCATACAATGGATGTCATAGATCAGACATGCCAAGACATGCCAAGTCACAGAAATATAGATCAACTGCAGTAGACTGTCAAAACCAACTGAAAAAGAAAAGGTGTCTATTATAGAAGCTATTAATAATACAAATAGAACTAGCCAAGTTGTAAATACTGAATATGATCATAAATATTATAATCTTAATATATTATAATAACTAATTAAATATTATCTTGTAAATATGACAGTTGTTTTTGTAACATAACTATATATTATATAATATATATTAAGTGATAGAATAGTAGCTTTTCATTTAAATTATTTAATACTTTAATTAGTTTAATTATTTATTATTTAATATTTTTTTTAACAATTATTAACTTTTATACATGTAATTATTTATTTCTTATAATAATTTTTAAATATGACTTGTAACATCACTATATTTATATATTAAGTGGAGAATAGCAGATGTACATTTAAATTATTTAAAACTTTAATTATTTCTTATTTAATATTTTTTTTAACAATTATTAACTTTTTATACATGTAATTATTTATTTCTCACAATAATTTTTCATTTAAATGATTTAATACTTTAATTATTTATTTCTTACAATAATTTTTAAATATGACTTGTAACATCACTATATTTATATATTAAGTGGAGAATAGCAGATGTACATTTAAATTATTTAATACTTTAATTATTTATTATTTAAAATTTTATTTAACAATTATTAACTTTTTATACATGTAATTATTTATTTCTTACAATAATTTTTTAAATATGATGACCTGTGCTAATTTTTAATATGTCATAGTTTAACTTCCTATTGTAATGTAAAATTCTAGCAAATTTTAGAGTATTAACTATAAAACAAAAAAATAATTTACTTTTTATTTTACTATTTATATAACTTTACCATTATTAATAAATAATATAGTATCTACTTACCGTTATATTTTTGAAATTAACTTAGATACTTAAACAAATTGTTGTACACAGGCCATGGCAGCCGACAGCTGTGAGCTGTAGCTCTAGAAGTAGTTACTAGTACTAGTTACACTTGAATACTAAACTGCAATAAGTTGACTGTTGAGTAGTAAAGCGTTAAACTGCTAAGTGCTAATAACACTAATATTTAATAGACATCAGACAAAACCAATGGGTATCACTCCGTATCAGAAATTCATAATTCATAAATTACAAGAAACGAACCTGTGGGTAATAGGTACACTGGTAATACACTGAGCAAAAATAATAATTGTTATTTTTAGAACCTATTTTTACATTTTTTAAATAAACATTACATAATTTATTATACAGTGTGTACAAACAGTAGAGGTTAAATAGTCGCACAAGCACATTATTTTATTTTTACGTTGGTCACACTTAAAATGTTAAAATTACCGAAAAATGTGTTATAGTGATAACGAAGAATTGATAATAATGTGAATGGATCTGGGTGGTTTTGATCCGCTCGTTACTGGTTACACATCGAATTGTGATAAGGAGACCGTCTAACTGAATCCCTATATCAGCTCTGGAACTACTGACTGGCGCCATCTAGCGATAAATTTCCATGTTCCATTCGTCAACATCAAGAGGATATGCTAACAAATATTTTTTCCTACTACATAACTATACGCATGAGGCAATATAGTTATATGCAAAACTAAGCCATTAAAAAACTAAACAAAACAAAAAAAAAGATGGCGCCAGTCGGTAGTTCCACAGCTGATTTGGAGACTCAGTTTGACGGTCTTGAAAAATGCAAAATATCATAGGCCGATGTTCAACCTGTATATCTTAAATAATTTAACCTAACCTGTATATCAACAGCGTATAATTATAATGATAATTGATTTTGTACCATTGATCATACTAATACAACTATTATCAAGATATCTTGTCGGCTCTATATCAACAGGAATTTTGTCAATCCAACATAGAATTTTATCTTTATGGATGTAATTTTTTTAGTAGTATGGTTAATACTACTATTACCTATGTATTTTTTAAAAAAATTTAATCAAGCATTTCTATAATAGTTTACTCTAAATTTTAAAAAGTATAAAAATTTAAATTAGGTACCTATAATGTTTAAAATAATACAAAATTTTTTATAATTATAAATTATTTATCAGACCGACCACCATGCACTAACATTTATAAAACAATGTAAACTAACAAGTGGAAGATTAAAAAGATGGACTTTAGCTTTGCAAGAATTTGATTACACAGTCGAATATATACCAGGCAAAGATAATATCGCAGCGGATACATTAACAAGATACCCAAGAACAGGGGAAGAAAAGATTAAGTTGAACAAAATGTCATCATTGTTGATTAACAAACAACTAATTGAAAAAATTAAAAACATCGCACAGGAACAAAAAAAGGACAAACACGTGAAAAAAATGAAGGAAAACGAGCATGTGACCAAAAAGAATGGAATAACATTTGTAAGACACAAAATAAACGACAGATGGAAAGTAGTTATTCCAAACCACTTAGCCAAAGACCTAATAAAAGAAACACACGCAAACACGGGACACCCAGGAAGAATCAAAACATATCACGCGCTAAGAGACATATGTACATTTCAAAATATGCAGAAGCTAGTATTAGAAGTAACAAAAAATTGTGACAGTTGCCAAAAAAATAAACCAATAAATTACAATGCCAGTGGAAAATCAAGTTCTCACAAACCAACGAAACCATTGGAAAAAGTATCGATCGACATGATGGGACCACTCCCGACTGGAAGAGGTGGCACTCATTATATACTAGCAATATTAGATGTATTTTCGAAGTACATACGACTATACGCGATAAAACGAGCTACAACCAAATCAATTACTAACAAACTAATTAACGATTATATACCAACTACCGGCAAGCCCGAATCAGTAATATCAGATAATGGTACACAATTTACGTCAAAAAGCTGGTACAACACACTAAAAGAAAAAAACATAAAATGCATATATTTTACTACTAAATACCACCCACCGGCCAATCCAGTAGAAAGATATAATAGAGAGATCGGGAGACTCCTAAGAACATATTGCCATATAAGAACCAACATTCGAAATGGCCAAATTATCTGGAGAAAATCGAATTCTGGATGAACCAACTAAGATCAGAGGTAACGGAGGCAACACCTATTCAAATATTAAAAGGAGAACGTCCCAAACACTTCATCGAAAATTTGATTGCATTCCCAACTCAAACAGAAGCAAAGGACCAACAGCAATTATTATGTACCGTATCAGACAAAATAAAAATAAAAGCTAACAAACGAGAAACCAAACAGAATGAAAAGAAAAAAATTCATTACGTATCAGGTGGGACAAAAAATATTATCTAAAAACCACCACTTATCAAATGCCGGAAACAATGAA